TACCGCTCCGGTAGCCTAGTCGTTAGCGAGTCCGCCTTGGATGCGGGGGGTCCCGGGTTCGAACCCAGGCTGAGTAATATCAAAGACTTTAAAAATAGTACTAACAGCTGCCTCGCTAGGCGCTCAGCATTAAGAGGTTAGTGTTAGAACTGGTTGGTCTAGTGTCAGGGTAATGTGACTGGGTGGGACATCATTATGCCCCAGTGCTAGACATCACTATAATCTGCTACACTGTAGATATTGTAGCGATATGACTGAACACATTGTTAAAGCTACGTTAAAAATCCAAATCACACACACACACGCACCTTTTTGCGAAACATGTATTTATGCAAGTTAAAATTGGCAATTAGATATTCCATTTTATGTATAATAGATTACGTCATTGAGATAATATTGAACTATTGCCATATAATTATTTTGTTGCATGTGGACTTAGCAACGTGTTCAATATTTTTCATTTACATTGAGTCTTGAGTACTACAATGCGCCTGGCAAAAGGAACAATGTCATGGGGTTTGCCGTATATTTCTCCACTTATTTACACGTGGAATGATGGAATGACATAAAATAAATGGTTTAAGAAAACAATAAAAAACGGACTATATTAATGCTTTAAGAAAAACTAAACTGGACAATTTGACATGTACTGCCTCGAAAAATCGATGTATACACTAGCACTTATCATACCTAAATAGAAATGTCTCCAATTAAACCTAGCGATCCAAACAAAGGGTCAAAAGTAGGGATCAACTGGTTTGGTTATTAGACCTTTAACACGTTTTAAAATATTTTAATTAAAGAGTGTAATAAAGGTTCTTTAGTATTTTTTTAAAAAATATCATCTGTTGATCTGACAGTACTAGAGACTACCGTAGAATCATGAATGGAAATGACTTTCTCATAAAGACAAGCAGAAATGGAATTCTTATCAAAATCTGTATTTGACACTATCTTGTTGTTACATTTAAACCGTTCTAAATTTCACAATATCAAAATACTGATTATCCATAACTTAATACCGCAAAAGAGGACTTCTGCTGTATGTGAACTTAGTGCTCGTATTCAACCAAGAGCATTAAGCGTTGAAGATGTAAGGGAAGCAACTCACAATTGTAAAAAATAACTATTAAAGATTTTAGAAAGCAAGAATTATTGTTCAATACAGTAAAAAATAAATATAAAATTGATATAAATAAATATATAAAGGGAATATTGCATACTTTATATAAAATATGTTTAATGTATTAAGAAATATAACAGATGTATGTCGTAAGCTATGCGAACAGCTTTATTTATGATTTTATTTATAGTATATGAAGCTTTTACAAGTTTGATTTAGTTTATGCAAGGCCATACCATAAGCTCGATATCTCTGATATCGCTCTACCTGGTATTAAATTAAACAAATTATGGCTCTCCAAAGAGAGGGAAAATTAACGAAAATAGATAACTTGTCATTCATAATAATGTTAAACAAAGCAAAATTGTCTCTTACCCACCAGACAGAACGTAATCGCTAACGTTGTTTTTAATAACTGCTCTATAGTTTGTCAGCACCCTAAAAATAAAAAGAAGTCTTTGCATTCTGTCGTGCCTAACGGATTTGTTATTAAATACAGCATATACATAAAACATAACTTAGCTCATAAATCTGCTTACGGTACACACACAAGACGTTGAGTCATTTAGTACAGCTCATAAATTTAAAATTAATCCTATAACTTTAATCTGCAAAGACCACTGTTGTTGTGTCCTAAAAACATCAACTTTAAAAACTTAATGGGTTGGAGTGGTAATTTGGCTTTTTAAAGTAGCTTTAGCATTTTTCTACGATGTCTGCAGTGGCAGTTTATAGCGATGTCTAGCACTGAGACAGCATGACACATTTAGCATGATGTTCCACCCAGTCACATTATCCTGACACCTGGCCGAACAGTCCTAACACTAACCTTTAAATGCTGAGCTCCTAGCAAGGTAGCTGTTAGTACCATTTTTATAAGTCATTGGTTCGAACCCGCGACCTTTCCCATTTGAGGCGAACGCTGTAACCCATTGGCCACCGGATGCACCTTTGGATACGAAGGAGGGGAGTGAAGAACACAGAAACCTCAAATGAGGGGGTGATATTTCTTTAAACCCCAAGACGGTTAAATAAATTTTTGGAAACTTCCGTATTTAATGAGAAGCAGACGAAAATAAGGACAGGGTAAAACAAAACAAAAAATAAAATAAAAAACACACAAACAAACAAACAAAAACAAAAAAAAAAACAACAAAAAACCCCAAAACAAAACAAAACAAAACAAATACAAAAACAAACAAAAGCAATGAAAAATCTATGTACACTAACCCCATATTTCCAGGTAGGTTTCCTGTATCAAGACAAAGAAATTTCTGTCGTGGGATTACATTTTTATTGTTTACCCATCAGGCAGAAAACCAAGTGGAGACAAAATCTAAATTCAAGCCCTTGACTAAGATTTTTTTTCCCGGTGCAAACCCGAACATAGATTATCTAGTCATCGCATTTGCGATACATAAATCTAGCAGATTAGCTAACCTTACATTTCTTATTTCACTCTAATTGTCTCGGTCATGGTGTTAGGAATGTTAGGAAGATTTTTCTAGGACAGTAACCCTTGTATTCTTGTCTGCATGACAGGGTTATTTTAAAACCAAACAACAACAATAATGATTTAACAAAACGAATTGTACTCATAGAGCAACATAATGTCTCTATAGCTTTATATGCTATGTGGTTCAGGACTAGAAGCTTCATTCTCTTCCTCTTCCACGTCTGATACAAGTGAGAATGATTCTGGTGCATCAAGAACCGGCAGTCCTTTTCTTGTTATTGGGCGTATAATTGATTGAATGTTTGATACCTTTCCCAACTGGAGGAACCATGAAGAAGTAACAATTGCTGTTATGATCTGTTGGCTCTCTCTCCAAATCATTGGCAATGCAAAAGACAGAAATTTCTTATTGCTAATCGCTGGAGAATATTAGTTGCACAAAGGTTACAGCATATGTGTGGAGCCCACCTCTTGTCCTGATCTCCAATTTTGCAGCCAAATTAAAGGTGATAGGCTTTCTTTTTCATAGTGGTAATACTGCGCTTTTATGATGCAGAAGTCACTTCAACACAAACATAGCAGAAGTTATCAGCATTGTTCACACAAGCACGTGACATCTCTGCTCACTTTGGCAAACAGACTTGTGTCTCTTTGCAAAATCAAACACCGACAAATAAGAGAGCACGACATGATTTTTAGAGATCAAATAGGGCAATTTGTTCAGCAGAGTGATGTAAGCTTTGTTATGATTGCATCGTCCATGACTTCTTGGAATAACATGATGCAATTCATATCATTATGATGCAATACCTGCTTCAAATGGCATCATTCATTGTTTGGATTGAAGAGCAAACATTGTCCAAACCCAGTACTAGATTTATTCCTAGATCCAGTCATAGATGTATTTTATCTATGTCTGGTTTAAATGGAGATTCCTTCCTTTTTGTAAATTCATTATCTGCCATTCTCAAGTCAAAGGTCGTACATGCTGTCCCAGTCTCATATATTTGAAACTAGAGCCAATCAAACATTTTAAGAATCATTTTCGTTCTCATTTATTTCGTAGACCTGTATTGTGGTATATATATATATATATATATATATATATATATATATATATATATATATATATATATATATATATATATATAAGGGCTAAGACTTTTGGACAATAAGACTCATGTTACTGTTGGACAACCTTTCTTAAGTACTTTATTTATTTATTTATTTATTTATTTATTTATTTATTTATTTATTTATTTATTTTGGGATTCTTGTACCTGTAAATTGAAACACTGAGGCTAGATTTGCGTTATCCTGAAGTTATAAGAGCATCATTTACGAAAAGTATGATATTGTCACCTTCTGTCCTTCTCAGTGACAAAGTTAATTTTTTAAAATTGTCATTAGCACACACACATATACACACATGTACAAACACACACACACACACACACACACACACACACACACACACACACACACACACACACACACACACACATTCTCACGATACTACGTTGCGATGATAAAAATGAAATCAAACTCATCCGATTATGGAATCTATGAACTTATTGATTTGCAGGCATGAACAAATGGATAATAAAAGTTTAAATCAAAATTTAATTGTGACTGATATTGTTCCAAATAAACTTGGGTTTAAAACTTGAAGTCGTGATAGGACAATTATATACAATGCCTTTGAAGAAAACGTTGGGGGAACGTGACTTAAAATGATACAGTTATTGAAGTGAGCGAATTACAAAAACCTCAAGGTTAAGGAATAAAAGAATTGTTGGACAAAGAAAATGTCTAATCTAATATTTCTCCACTTACTCAGAAAAGAAAGGAAGTATAATAAACGTTAATGGGATTTTATTTTGAAAAATATACTGGAAATAGATGATGAATTGATATGGATTTAAATATTGCCATCTTTATGCATGCGCCCTTAACAGTTGAAGTCATATTTATTGAACTATGATAATTGCTATTATATATGTCGATTTTACGTTTACACACACACACACACACACACACACACACACACACACACACACACACACACACATATATTTGTGTGTATGTGTGTGAGTGTATATATATATATATTTATATATATATTTATATATATATATATATATTTATATATATATATTTATATATATATATGTATATATTTATATATATATATATATATATATATATATATATTGCATAGGCCAATCGACCTAAATAATAGCGATCGTCATAGGTCAATAAACATAACTCCAACTGAAGCTAGACATCCACACAAAAGTAGGCAGTAACCTATTTGGTTATTTGACAACTATTTTCTACTTAAGACCTAGATACAATATAGATCAGACAGACATAATATCGTTTTATAAATATCTTTGCAAAAGGATAGAAACCTCATTTTATAGATAAAACCATATCAAAATAAGGTGATATAACGTGACGTGGCTAATTATACATGGAAAGACGTAAAGAGAATA